AAATGAAATTTCTTTTTCTCACGCGATCGCCATGTAAGCTATCTTGCTCTTGGGGCGTGAATCTTTGAATTTCATTCCCCTTGCGGCTTTGCAACTTGCTCAAATGCTCCTCAATAAAACAGCCAGCTACGCACGCTAGTTATTACGTCCTAATATGTAAACTTGCCCATTTGTTAAACAACAAATCCCCCAGCAAGCTCGAGTTAACGCCTCAATAGTGTCTAGTTTAAACCAGCCTGACTTTACTCTAAGTTTACACAACGTTTAAGGAAGCACTTGTCTAATCATTGTTTAAAACACGAAAACATTAAACGCTTTTTCACCTTAAGGAGGCTCCATAGGGTTTTTGCTCAATGTTGGCGAGACAGCGTAATGTTTTTCTAGAAAGTTTTTATGTTTTTGCTTTTAAAGGTCACTTAAAGCCATTAAAAAGTAATAAGTAAAGTTCGGACTTTCGTTTGCTATAGTAGATATTAACAAAATGATTTTCGTTATCAAGTTAAGGCTCCACGAAGGGAGGGAGAGAGGCGCTCATCAGTGATAATTTGGATTTGATTTTCTTCAATTTGCTTTGGTGAAATCTCTCAAAATTTGTGAAATTTATCCTGCTGATCATTTTAAGCCGAACAAAATGGGGGTTACAAGGCAGTTTCCTCGCTATTTTGCAGTTATGTGTTTTATTTATCTATCTCAATTTTTTTTGCATAAATATGTTTAACGGTCCAGCAAATCTTAGAAAATTTCACCGAAGGAAAGACGATAAATCTTACTCGAAAGATTCCTATTTTCTTTGTCGCAAAGCATTACGGAAAGGAATGGAATATCTCCAAGATCTATATCTGAGCATGCGTAAACTTTCGAATCTTTCGCCTTCAGGCAATCCTTCCTTCTTTTCGGTTTACCTCTTTTTCAGGCGTAGAGGACCTATGAATATTACGGATACAGTTGCTGGAAACCCTAGATTCCATGACATAAAAACTGTATTGAGTTAGACTGTTCTCAACACACCTTTTTGGAAAACAATCGTGCAGTCGGATCGAGACACCATTCTTGTTTTTCATGTTGATATTTTTAAAGCTTGCGCTGTGTTCGCAGCCAGATCTTCCGTGGTCAAAAAAACCTATAGAACCTCTTTGACGGTGTCTAGTTCACGTCTAAATACGACTAGAAAACAATGTCGTTATCCAAATTTTGGGCGAATATTCGCGTTACGGACATCTAAACTTGATATGCAGCAAACACTGCAGAACCACAAAAAAAAGTCGTAATAACTCGTCCGAAAGTTCCCATGACATAATATCTCATAGCAATCAGAACTTGCTGCATTAGCGTCAGTGGAAGCCTCCCTTTTGACTGATTAATACGTATACAGTTAGCGGCGTGTAAGTATTGTTAAAGCATTGAGCATAATACTGGCATAATGACTAAACTTCTAGAAAAAAATATCTTGATGTAACGGGTCCAACAAGACTCAATGCATAGTTTTGGCCCAATGCCACGTTTTCAGGGGGGACGCTCAAAGGTATACAACTCAAATTTTCGAGCATAACTTATCTGGCCTTACTGCCAGATGCAAACATCTGGAAGTTTATTTTTGGCCCTCGACCATATTCCTCTCCAGTTTTCTCCTTTCATAAACTTCCGTTTATATTCAGTATTCACCAAACTTTTCGTTAGCAGTCTTTACCATCAGTTAAAGCCCTTCCAGCACAACTTGGCAACGCTCGACCGAATCATCAGACTTTACGATTGAAACATGCTACGGGCTCAAACGATTTACTGTACAGCTACAAACAACTCTCACAGAACCTTACGCGAGGAAACACGTTTTGATAGTGGTGAAGAATTCGGATAAATGAAAAGAGAGTAAACTTACCAAAGGGCATGAAAGAAATCAGCACAAGAACAAATATCATAGTCATCTCCACAGAATTCACATTTCTCACTTGCTTTCTTAAGGAATCTTTTGTTTTCGCCACGTGATTTAGCCCCTGCGGGGGGCTCTTTATTAAGTGCAAGATCACCACAGTAATTGGTCAGCGGTCATTACCCCCTTTTATCGGGCAATTCTCTATTCAATGTGTGTGTTTTCCGTGGTTAAAGCAAGGAAAATATCGATAACACTACTCTGATGAAGCTTTCAGCGGTAAATAAACTTACGGTTATTTGAAATCAAGGGATCCATAAGACAATCTCTAATCCGTGGACATTATCAGCTGTCTTTCAAGCCGCCTGAAGAGGTTTTTTTCAAAATAATGTTACTCGTGTACAGCACTTTTGAGTGAAACCTTCGGAATAATTTCTGACTGCTAGGTAAGACCGTGACTCTTGTCAGAAGAAACGCAAAGGAGATCAAAACAATTTTTTTGTAATTCTAGTGCTGCTCACAAAAAAATGCAAAAACATTATCAGCGTATCGCGCGAATATGTGTGCGCTCTGATGTTGAATCAGTAATTGATATTTACTGTTCGGGATCTTATATTGTATTCTCTCTCAGTATGTTACATTTTCAGTGTATGATATCACTCTCTTTACTTAGGGAAGGGGTGGGAAGGTGGGTAGGTTGGTGGTATTTTTGGTTCTGATGTAGAGCGAGAACGTCAGAACCTAATATTTGTAGTAGGGTAAATCTCGCGCGAAAGCTCGGGGTCTTGTGTGCGATAAGTTTAGTTCTCAGTGTTTATTTTCGGGATCCGATAAAGTAGTCTTTTTAAATCTTAAAGCATTTTATAATATTTTCAATGTATTGTATTTTTGTGTCATGGGTTTACTGTATTGTGGGAAAATGTTGGAGCGTGGGGTTTAACATGGTTTATAGTTGCTTGAGGCCAATTTTGCTGTCTCGACCGTTTTGGTAAAAAAAAATCAACTATTAAGTAAGTAATAAAACATTCGAAGTAATTGCCAGAACGTGCGACAAATTTCATTGTTATGAGAGCAAATTACGCAGGTCTTAACTGATTTCGACGCCTGTAACCCCCTAAATTAGGGAAGAAAAAGTGATGTTGTGAAACAAGAAATAAATTTGGGAACATAACGATAGATTGGGCCAGGATTTTACGATGCTCGTGATTGTGGGGAAAGTTCTTGTTACGCATGGTGAACTGTACAAGGACAGAACTGCTTGAGAACTTTGGAGTGCTGAAATTGGGATCATCGAAAAAAAAGCCATAAAAACGTTGACAAAATGCAGTCCTTTTGTGATTCGTTGACCAGCAACTACGGGGTCCGTAAAGATTCGGTGACTGTGTCAAGAAAAATCCCACAATCATTTTTGCAGAACATGAATGTTTTTTAAATAATCGGCGCAATTCTAACTCATTGGGCTGATTATTTAAACGAAGTTTAACCGTTGTTTAACAACTTCGCGTTTCAAACTACCTTTAATTTAGCTGAATCTTTCATCTGAACATTTATGTTCATATCGGAGTGCGACGCATGCTGGGACCTCATGCTTCATGAGTCGCCATGTTGATTAGACATGTTATGTTACGTTGATTCATTTTGAGTTTCTCTTCTGATACTAAAGTGTCTAGAGGGCCAAAAGCAACCCTCTTATAGAGAATACGTAAGGCTCATTACCTGCGAAAAACCACGGTTTGGGTAAGAACTCGTGTAAATAACCGGCCTATTAAGTTCCTCTGTGACCTTAACGTAGCCAATTTCCTTTCCTATTCAAAACATCTATTTTATGACATAATGATACAATGAGACACTAGTTTTGTGGTCAACGTGTACAATAAGTGTTACTGAACTGAACTGAACTAGATTTGATTTCACCGTGGACTGAATGAAATGATTATCAGAGAAAAATATTTATCACATAAACTGCGGTGTTATCCAGGGATTTCCGGCCCTAATAAGTGGTAACAGCCAATCAGCTGCTGTCACGTCATTCGCCTTTGGCGCCACTCGGTCAGGTTGATGAATGAACGGCAAAGCCTTCACGATTTTTAATACAAGTTGTTTGTCGGAGCTTTCTCGAATTATGGCGGCTCAAACACTAAAAAATCCGTATCGCTAACAGACAGTGGGTTCAAACTTTCGTAGAAGGAGAAGAAAACTAATATACCAAAAGAAAAACTGAAAGTTACGTATTCAGTTACGTACTCAATGAGGGAAAACTTTTTAGATAGCTAGGTTAGCTATCTAAAATTTTCCCTTATTGGCTAGCAATGTAGTTTTTCGTCCTTACACCTTCAACAAGATAGGTTATGGCGACGACAGTGCGACACAATCGGGACGAGAAAGAACCACTAGAAAGTGAATGGTTTTAGCTTAAACATCGTCATCTTCTCTGAAACATTCGTGCTATTAGCGTATGTCGAAACATCTTTTGTGACGTACGTCCATAACGAAATTTGCATTTAATGTGATAGTTAACAGTTGCCACTCGTAAGTACATGTTCAAATAAAACGGAAAACAAAGAATTCTGTGGCTGTCGCTGTAGAATTTCATCAATACAATGTTGCTGAGAAAAAAAATTGAAGAATCGACTAATAAGCACTTTGTCGCACAATTTTTTCTAGCATATCTTAAATCAGTCAATTAAAATACTTTCCCATGGCGAGCAAAACATAATTGACGAGCCTGGACTCAAAATAACCTTGGAATTCGTCAGTTTGATGTTCAATAAGTCATCCACTGAATTCCATATGATTTTCTTTGCCCCGTAAAAATGTACCACGCCAGAAATGGGCGCTGGCTCAATATAAATTAACTTGGTTGTTTTACAGGATTTTAAGTGTAAATGTATAAATTCCTTAAATAATCGCACCCAATCCCTCAATTTTCTTTATGCAGAGTAACATACACTAATTCTGATTAGTAAATTTCGAACAAAACTTGGTAATGAAGGAAAATTGAAGATATAAACTGACTCACTACTCGCCGTGCGCCAAGAGCCGAGCGAGTGCATTTTACTCAAGCTTTGCATTTATGACTTTGGCAATGGTAAAATTGGTCCTTAAAAAAAGTATGGGTTGCGCTTAGACTTACCAACAGAAATGCAGAGGAAAAAGGTGACAACGAAAAGCAACTTCATTTTACAACTTGAATGCCACTCCTTTCTTTTCGTCTGGGACGTCAAATAATATTGTATAACGAAGTCGGACGCCTTATGTCGAAGTCATAATACTAACTATTAGTTTTTCCAAAAGAATTTAGTTGAGATCCAACCAATCATAAGGATTGATTTCATTATCTGTCATGATTTTTAACCAATCATATTTCATGGGCGGGCTTCTTATTGTTTGAGTGATACTCGTCTTTCTTCCCAGAAAGGTGAAGCTTTTCCCAGCATTCAGGAAGTTGATTTTCTGTCACGAGCAAGAGTTTATTATTCACTGCCTGGTAAGCCGTAGCGACAACCCACTACTGTGGTCCTCCGACATACCAACTGTCCTAGTACCTAACGACAATACTACAACCGCTCACCGACAAATCCAGACGAAAACTACAATCCACTGAGGACTTCATTAACGCCACTAAGACTGTACGGATACCTGACGACTACAAACTAGTGTCATTTGATGTTAAATAGCTTTTTACAAGTATTCCACTTCAACTGGCTCTACAATGTACTGAGACTGCTATCCTACAATCTACCGACCCTCTACCGCTACCGACAGAGAACATTATGGACTTACTAAACCTTGGCCTGACATCAACTTACTTTCAGTACAACGGTAAACATTACAAACAGTTACACGGTACAGCTATGGGGTCTCCAGTTTCTGTTGTTGTAGCAGAAATTGTGATGCAGAACATCGAGGAAAGCGCCCTTTCGACTTGCCGACAGACGATACCACTTTGGCTACGCTACTTTGACGATACTTTCACTGCCGTACGACACGACGAAATCGATGCATTTTACCACCACCTTAACGAACAAAACACTGACATACAGTTTACAAGAGAGGTCGAAGAAAATGGTAAACTACCTTTTCTAGACTGCCTGGTAAGCCGGGACGACAGTTCACTACGGACAACAGTTTACAGGAAACCGACATATACCGACAGATTACTGGACGAGTCATCCTACAACCCGACATCACACAAAGCCACTACTATCAGGACTCTTACCCGACGAGCGCAACTAGCATGCAATACGACAGACAGCTTATCCGACTAGAACAAGTACCTTAACCGTGTTTTTTCAAGGAACAACTACAACGAAGACTTCATCCAACGTAACACTCACAGACTTAACTACTACTACCGAGGCTAACGACAACGCACTCCTACGACCACAGCAACTATACCATACAAAAAGGGCATATCTGAGAACATCTCGCGCATCTTTCAACCATTCAATATCCGTGTCGCTCACAAACCTATTACCACACTACGTCAGTTACTGACTAACATCAAAGACAAAGACGAACCGAGGGACAGACAACGAGCAGTATATAAGATCAATTGCTCCGACTGCCACGCTTCCTACATCGGTGAGACTGGCAGAAATCTCACAACTAGACTGACTGAACACAAACGAGCGACGAGGAAAGGCGATGTCATCAAGCACATTGCTGAACATCACCAACTTACGAACCACATTGACTGGGACACTGCGCAATGCCTAACCTACAGCACCAACTACTTTCAACGACTGACCCTGGAAAGCTGGTTTACTAACTTGTAACAGACTTCCCTCAACAGGTGTCAACCACTACCGGCACCATACAAACGACTCCTCCACGACATTAACATTACAAACGAACCGAAAAGAACGACCTAACTTCACTAACGGATCCAAATCGACCAATCACAACTGACCTACGCCACTTGAGTCTTACAGCCAATAACATCACGGCAAAACTGACCAATCAGTGTACAGAAACCGGACTAAGTACATTCGACTGACAACAACCTTTCACTTGACTCTGATGATGACTTCCGCTCAGGTTGTCGAAACGTCAGTCACCACTTCCGACAACAGTCCTTCTCAGGATTACACTCACCCAGACGATCAATCTACACTATTACATGTTACCTTCGGGTTCAAACCATTTACTGTATTTAGTTAATCTAATATATAGCAATTGTGTGAATAAGATTGCCTGTCAGGAGTTCCTCATACCGCGATTAGTGATCATAGCATGGTTTTTGCCCACAAAAAATTAGAACTGAACGGGATTTCTAATGGAAATAACACAGTAACTTATAAGAATTTCCAGAAATTTGGCGAACAAAGCTTTCGAAATAACATCTCATCTCAATCTTTAGAGAACCTTTATGCATTCTCCAATCCGAATGAGATGTGGCAAGTATGGAAACATACAATTTAGGCAAAAGCTAACAAACACGCTCCACTGAGGACAAAGCACGTTAGCGCGTAGTTCTCCGTGGATCACACCAGGAACAAAAGGTTCAGTGCATAAACGATACATCTTAAAAATAAAAGCCATTAAGTCAAATGCTCCTTATGATGGGATATGATTCAAAAGGCAACGGGATGTAACTAACAAAGAAATGAGATAAATCAAGCAAGCATACTATCGAAAAGTTTTACAGAGCACACAGGCGACTCTCGAAAGACTTGGCAGAAAGCCCCGTAAATCTGAGAAAACGCCAGCAACGTCACTCGAAGTGAATAGATTGACGGAAACCAATCCAGGGACGATATCAAAAGAGTTTAATAACCACTCTTCCACCACTGCTTCAAAACTTGAAAGTGAGATTGACGCGGATAGCGGAGACTACCAAAGGTATCTCACTTGCACAGACACACGATTTCATCTCCATCCAACCAATGCAAACAAAGTATTTTCACTTAAGAACAAACTAAACAGGCCTAATACAACTAGCCTAGAGAAAATATTTGCGAGACTTATTCGGGAGTGCGCGGACCTCTTTTGTGGGCCTATATGCGATATTTCTAACCATTCTATCAGACAGGGTAAACTCCCAGAAAACTGGTGATCTGCTTGAGTCACGCTCCTTGTCAAGCAAGGTCATCGAGATGACGCAAACAATTACCGTCTGATCTCGATTATCCTAGCTGTGGTCAAAGTATTGGAGACAACAGTTTGCGGACTATTATATGCCTGTTTAAAGGAGTACCATATACTATGTAACCATTAGTCGGGTTTTGGTAGTATTCACTCAACTGTTACCGCTTTGCTTGAGGCAAATGACTCCTGGGCATTTAATATAAACAGCGGGAAAATAAATACGGCCATTTTAATGTAAAGAAAGCTTTCGATACCGTTGACCACAAAACATTCTTCTATAAATTACACAACTATAGTCAGTCAGTTGGGTCCTTATCTGACCACAGCGGTGTCCCTCGGGGGGGGGGGGGGGACCATCCTCGGTCCACTGTTATTCTTGTTCTTCATAAATGACCTTCCATATTGTTTGTCAAACTATGATCCGAGGATGTGTGCCGATGTCCTCCATCTCACATATGCGGATGATGATGTGGGCAACATTGAATCATGTCTTAGTGAGGACCTATTGAGTGTTGATACTTGGTTAAACGCAAACAAACGTACTCTTAATATGACTAAATCCGAATGTATGCTGATAGGATCTGTCCAAAGGCCCTAACTGCTTCCCCATCAGTCACAATGAACGGTACTCGGGTGGCTGAGGTTTTGCAGACTACAAAATCACTCCGGCGGTGTAACAACTGACGAAAAACTCAGCTGGAATTGTTACATCGAAAAACCAACCCAAAAGATCGCTTCTGGAATCGGAGCCATGAAACGTGTTAACTGAGGAAGTGGTTCCCATCCGACCTTGCATCCAATTATATAGAACCTCGCCTTGACTACTGTAGTAATGTTGGGGAATCTGTGGGATAACCTTACAAGACAAGCGGCAAAAATTGCAGAATAGAGCAGCTTGCGTTCTGAAATTATCAAATTATGACGCTGACGCTGGCCGAATGGTTAGAAATTTTGGGGTAGAAAATTTTGACTGCTAGCGGAACACACAAAAGGGCACCTTGGTATTCAAATGTCTACATGGATTAGCTCCGGACAACTTAACTTCGAAATTCTCTAAATGCAATACAATCTACAATCTGTGGGACTCCGAGAACAAACTTAATGTTCGATTACCACGCAAAAATCATTTCAAAAATAGTTTTAGTACTTCTTTTCAGGACAAAACCCTCAACGTGAAACGGTGGCCTGGAGTAACAACCTTGAAGCGTATGTCGAACTCAACTGAAATTAATTCAAAACAAAGTGTGATACAAGTGAAAACGATCTTGAGCCATTGTTAAGAAAAAGTTTTCAGGCTGACGTTTTGAACGTTGTCCCTTCGTCAGAGCGAATGGAGGAATTGTGTGTTGTGTGAGTGTTTATATGCAGAAAATGGAGCTGCACCGTTGGTGTAGATATGGTGACGGAAAAACACGAATAAATTAGTTGAATAAGAAGCGCCCGTTGATACCATGGGGATGAAGAGTGCCGATTTGAAAGATAAATTTTTCTTTCGGCCCGCTGCTCTGAGATCTGTGGATTGAAAAATTCTGAGGCGCGCAAGAGTTAGTGGTGGTAGCAATTAAAAGCTAAGTCGGTGGGAGAGTGTAACAGGGTAATTAAGTATATGATTTTCATATATTGAGAGTCATTATTAACCGCTTGGAAGGTTTTTTTCCATCCAACATAATAATCGGCTCCCATTTGGCTTGTTAGCTTAGTTGGTAGAGCGCTGCACCGGTATCGCAGAGGTCATGGGTTCATATCCTGTACGCGTCTGAATCTTTTTTTTTTATGGATGAAAGCAATAAGGGACAAAGGAAACAATGAGTTCCCGTTAGAAAAAAAAACGGTAACTCCGTAGTTTTTAATCGTGGTAGGAGTATGGGAATATTGTGGGAGAGAAGGGCACGAAGTACTATTTCGAAAACGAGAGCGAGTGTTTCATCGGGGTATCCAAACAACGAGTAACAAATGAAAGCACGAGGCTGTAGGCCGAGTGCTTCTATCGTTTCGAGGTGTTTGGATACCCCAATGAGACACGAAGCACGAGTTTTGGAAACAACTTCTCATGATCAATCTTAAAGAAATAATAAAAAAAGACTTCAAATTAGAGTTGCTTGGTGTCTAACATTCCTTCCTCGATAGTTTGAATATCAACGATGTTTTTTACCGGCGTAATTATTTTGTATTTGTGGTGCGATTTAATTTATTCTGGGATGTGAAAGTTGCTGCATTTACAAGTTGTCGTTCAGTCAGGATGTAAACCGCAACAAAGTCGTTCGAGAGATTTCGGCAGCCTTAAAGTGTGGAGGATGAGAAGAAAAGTGTTGATGATGTAGTACCGAAATCAGCAGCTTATAAAACCAAATGGTCGTGTAAGGTTTTCGTGGAACGGTAACAGAATCGATTTGTGACGTCCTGTACTGTGGACCCCGGTGGCCTTTTTACCACGAGACTTTGAAGGAGTACAAACTTTGGACACAGCCATTACAGATATTTCTGCATGCAGTGTGAACTACTGGCTGTCGAAGTTCGTTCAAGAAGTAAGCAACTCTTCTGGGGAACGCTATCCATCCCGTTCGTTGTACTCATTATTTGCGGACTGAAGCGCCACCTTTCTGATGTAAATGTAAGTGCTGTATTCAACCCTTTGGACATGTCTGACCGAATGTGTCAAGTTTAATGATTGTGAGGTAAATGTTTTTGTAAATGGGCGTAAATAAGAAAATGAAGCATTGTTAAAGTAAGGTTACTTGTGAGTAATAAATATTCATTGATTTTGTACAAGTTGTCATTGTGCATATTTTATGTGGTATAAATCACTCCCACTGGAGAGTGGTAAACTGTTTTTCATTGGGTATCCAAACACATGCTCGTGATGTGGTATGCATCTTGTGGTTGGTAGTTGAACTCATGAATTAGTAACGAGTTTGAGAAGGTTATCGAAGCCTACTGCTATACAAAAAATAGGCAGTTAAGACTGCATGTGGCTACCGCTGTAGCACAATTTTTATAGCATTGAAAAGAACTAGAGGTTGTTTGATGAAGTTAGTGTTACAAAAGATTTGTCTCGCGTGCAAAACAGAAAACCTGCCGCATCCCACATATTTATGGGTATCCTGCTCCGCAAGGGAAAGATGATTCAACCCCTAATCAAATGGCAACAAATAATCATATGAACAAAAACAATAATAAAAATAATAATAATGATAACAGTAGCGATAAAAATGATTATAATAGTAATATTAATGATAATTTATAGTTACTAGCTCAAGAACCACAGTGTTCCTCTGTAAGTCTATCCTTTAGGCTCCAATAATGAGAAAACTAGGCTTCCTGTTAATCGTAAATTATTTTCTTATTTCATAGCAATTCCATTTTTGTGAGACTTATTGCATACAACAAGGCATTCCGCGTGGTAGGATATGCCGTCATTCCACCGTTCCATTATTCCATCGAGGTTCACCCTGTTGAACTCAGGGACCTTGCTCGCTTCGCAAATTTAGAGGCTCTTTGAGCATTTGTCACTGATTGAAATGGTAAATGCTCTCTTTACGAATTGATAAATTTTTCTTCAAAGTTTCCATGATGTGCAGATCAAACCTATTGAAATATCTGCAAAGAAAAGTTTTTTCTGTTTCAATCACGTGTCAGAGACGCCACTATGAAATTATTTCGAGATGTTTCTCATATTTTGAAGTGTCAGGTTGGTATTAAACTTTTTCTACCTTGCTTCCGTTTCACCTTGGGGGGAGGGGTACGGCAACTCGTAGGCTACGACGCAATTAACCTGAAAGTTAATAGTTCTCATGGTTTCCTCCACAAACCTGTTACAAAGGCGTAACCTCGAGGTTTTAAAATTGGCTTACAAGTTTTTCAGAACCTTCTTGGCCTAAAAACCTAAACCTAGGTCAATGCATACTCATTGTGGACAGAATTGTCTATTAAGTCTTAAAAGCATATGGTCAATATTTTTGCGTGACACAAAACCTATGTGCAGTGAACATAATGTATACCGTGTGTTACGAAAATCATGCCATACACCATATTTTGCTGACCTCTCCCTGGGGAGAGGTCAGCTAAGATCAGTAAAGAGGTCACACACGCTGTGACAATACAATACAATAAAATGAAACATGAAATAAATACACTTAAGATAGTAAAAGATAATCGTAGCCTATTGTGAAACAAACGAATAAGAGTTTACGGCGGAGAAATAGACCTGCTTTACAAACGACGTCCGTAGAATGTCAATGCTCATTCCGAATATAGGCCCCATAAATCGAGTCTACCGCTAATCGCGGCTCCCTACCACAGTCATAACAAGTAAATTAACTACTGCATCAAGAAACAAGAAGATTTCCACCGAGGAAAGGGATTTTTCCACTTCAATATGTTCAAAACCGTCCATACAATTTACTACAAAGGAGACACTATACCTTTAAATATCCTCTTCCTTTGAATGAAACCTTTTGAGATGTCCACTAGGTCAGCGGTCGTTTTAGTGAAACTAATAACCCCACGAAATGGCGGCAGTGGCGAACTGTGTCACATTTCTTTACAATATTTTCGTGTGTAAGCCCTTCACATGATGTTTATGGTATATCTCGGTATCATAGATGGATTGAGAGAATTTAGAAGTACTGAAAATGACCACACTTGAGCTGTATACGAAGGTAACTGGCAAGGGCTTTTCTGTTGATGACAAGTGGTACCTGGTGCAAGTTTCCCGATGAACAACTTTATATTCACCGGCTTTCCTTCTTTCTCTAGGGAGCTAGAGTATGGATCCCGCACGAACAAGTTATATGGATTGGCGGAGAATTAACTAAAGATTTAAAAGAAGATGGAATCTTGGAGATTGAACTCGAAGACGGAAATGTAAGTCTGAAGTTAATGTATATCATGTTCGACGTGAACTTGAGACCTTTGTAAAGTTTGACAATCGTATGTTTATTTGTAGTGAGCTCTTACGTTGGTAAATCTCACGCTCCATTTGTATTTTTATATATTTATTTTTATTTCTCCAATAGGAAATTACTCTCGATGTTTATAAGGGAAAACAGAGCCTTCCTCCGTTGAGAAACCCCGAAGTTCTTGTTGGAGAAAATGATCTTACAACCTTGAGTTACTTACATGAACCTGCCGGTTTGTACATGTCAGCAAATATCCCTTTGGTGAACGACGATGTGTTTGTTTAAACTTTTCTCAAGAATTCATAACAATTTTTCTTTGTTCTGCTTTCTTGTGAAACCCGTTGAATTCTCTTTGTTTAGTGAGGTTTCCTGTTGAGTTAGTAAATATAGTTACCAAAAATCAAAATTATATTTCGGAGTTGTTAGGTTAATTTTACTTTAATTTAATTTTTCCTTTTAGTGCTGTACAATCTTCAAGTTCGTTTCCTCCAATCCAATGCGATTTACACTTATTGTGGTGAGTATAAATGTATTCTCTGTGATTTCCTCGCTCGGTATTCGTAATTTTTTTTGCGAAATATATGGAGGCATGTAAATATTGGTACTAAAATTTTAATAACTTCCAAACCATTTCGTGAAATTATTGGAGCGATACTAATTGCATTTGAGAGTCGTAAGATGTAATGTTTACTCGACGGTCGAAGTAGACGCTCAGCAAAACTAAAAGCAATATTGCATTTTCTATTAGGAAGAATGATTGTTTTCAATTCCTTCTCGGGTTATCTTTTGTTTTTATTTTGTTGAGCGTACAATAGGCTTTCACGCCTTTTGACATTTCCGCAATTCCCTCTGGCTAGAGAAGTGCGAGAGAAAACACAAAGCTATTTTTAAAAATGCAAATTTCTGTTACTTGCTGAATATTTAGGTTCATTCCTGTCATTTTTTTAATTACATATTTAGTTCAATGTTACTTGATCCCAGATTTTTCATGAATTTTGAAGGCAGCTCATCCAAAATGACTCTAGTTTAATTGATCAAAATAAGATTTTCTAGATTGCCAATTCTAAGAATATTAGTGTGTGTTTGATTTGCTGATTTTGTTAGACTTGTACGTGAGTGTAGCTTCATATACCCATTTTCCAATATACTTTATAATTATAAAAGGTTTCAACAAAGGCATTTTTGTGAGATTAAAATAAGTTTTCTACAGACTTGTCAGTGTAGCCATCTTCGTAGTGAAAAATCAAAGTCTATTACTTTCAATTCTAGACTATGAAGTAATTTGACATTTTGTCAAATTCCTATTACTTCCATTAGGTTAAAGGAATATGCTTGTTCAGCATCAAGACTTTTCAGAGTAGCTTGTCATTCAGCCAGATTTCATGAAATTTCGATAAAACTTGAATGAGATATTGTACCCTCTGCTTAATGTGATGAGCTACCATCATCTGCTGAACACCCTTAATTGTTGTTTAATAGTCAGGCATAATGTGTTTCTTACCCAGTAAATGTACATTTTATATTCTGAATTAAATCTCAGTGATTCCCAAAGAGCAAGGTTTTGGGTATCAATAAGATAATTGTGGTTGTATCAATAGTTTCCAAAATCTTACTTAGGTGTTCATGGTCTAGTAAATGTGATGCTTAATTGATGTAAATTATAATTTGCCATGCTTTTGATAGAGACATTAATGTACAAGGTCACCTTTAAAATCCTTGCAGGTATTGTTCTGGTTGCTATCAATCCTTACCAACAGCTTCCTCTCTATGGACCTGACATCATATCTGCGTATAGTGGCCAATCCATGGGTGACATGGACCCACATATTTTTGCTGTTGCTGAGGATGCATTCAGAGCCATGGCCAGGTGATTTTAAAGGACTAGAAAAGTCAATTTGAGCCCTTGAAATTTTTTTATCAAAATCTTGAGCAGTCAAATCTATGTCAAAGGTTTGATGCAGGCTCCATAAATTTGTCTTTCCAGTGCATCCACCTAGTGGAGATTTTAATGCTGCTCTGTGGTTACCTTTTTTTTTTTTGGAAAATACTGAATAAATAGTGTCAAAGAATTCACTTGGGGAGATCTGTAAGTCAAATTGATTTCTGCAATACAGTTATGTTGATATGGATTCTTATCCAAGATAATGTAGACTCCAGTAGCATATTTGAAAATAAATTATCATGAGATTGGTTTAAACCTTTAACCCCTAGTAATGACTAGCTTGTAATTTTTCCTTACAATATCAGCCCTGGACCACACATTAAGGTCATGAGAATAATGGAAATGATCACTTTGAACCTTGTGATTGTTAAATAAATTCTCCTTGTCAGCACCTTTTAGTTACGAAGTTTATAGGGAACAGTATGGAAAATATTATGGAGAAAATGCATATAGATGGTAGTTAAACAGTTGCATGGGTCCTAGGGTCTAGTAAAAATAACCCACAACTGGTGCAAATCACCAGCTATTTGAGGTTGTTGGTGGGTTATGGGACACTTCCTTAATCTTCTTAGTAATAAGAAACAGTTGAACAACCACCTACTTGAGTGATAAGTCAACTAATTTTCACTGACACTAATATTTTCAGAGGCTCTTACACAAAACTAGCCAATCAGCTTACAAGAAAGGAACTACAATAAATTCTGTCTCATTTCCGTGTCACTTTTACTTGCTTTGTTCCTGAGTACTGATTGGGTTCAATTTTGTTTACATGTATTAATTGTTTGTGTCCTGTCATGGTATCAATAATTTTGTTTAACTGATGATAGTATTAGGATGGAATTATAAAACTTTTCAACAATACTGCCGAATGGCTCATGAAAATGTCTGTACTTGTATATTCTTTTTTTAGAGATGGGCTGAATCAGTCAATCATTGTCAGTGGTGAAAGTGGCGCTGGGAAGACAGTTAGTGCTAAGTATGCAATGAGGTACTTTGCATCAGTGGGAGGGGCCTCTACAGAGACACAGATTGAAAAGAAAGTCTTGGCATCCAACCCTATTATGGAGGTAGAACAGCTTATAACTTGTTTAATTGGTTTAATACCATAGGTGCCAACCAGTTACAGTGGCATACTAACACATGATAATGATTTTCGAGGCTGTCTATTTTTACAGGCCATTGGAAATGCTAAGACAATACGGAATGACAACAGTAGCCGATTTGGAAAATACCTCGAAATATCTTTTGACAAGAACTATCACATCATAGCAGCCCACATGAGAACCTACTTGCTGGAGAAATCTCGAGTTGTATTTCAAGCTCCTGATGAAAGAAACTACCATGTATTCTATCAACTTTGTGCTGCATGTGATACTCCTGAACTCAAAGATCTTAGACTTGGTGAGTCAGAGGTGTCAGCTTACTCACTAGCTGGATAATTTCCACAGTGTTAAAATGGCTTGGTTGTGTGAACTTTGAAAAAAAAAATTGCTCTATCAAGCCACTTAGTCCATTTACAGATTTTTTTCTAACATCTTCAATTTGCTTTCAGCACACCAAGACAACTTTTACTACTTAAACCAAGGAGAATGTCCTTATGTTGATGAGGTGGATGATGGTGAGGGGTTTGAGGAGATGCGAGAGGCCATGGATCTGGTTGGAATCATGAATGATGAAC